TGAGCTCCTAACGGCCATTTTTGGACAAGGAAGCAAGCTCCTTAATGGGGTTTGGAGTTTCTCCCGAATGATTGTGATGACCGTTGCTTGTTTTAATCAGTTCCAGACGAAAGGCGGGCGACATTCGCAAAAGCCAGGCGGCTTTTGCACGTTTAAATTAATCTTTCTCCGCTCCAGGGGCCAAACGTCGGGCGACGTTTACCAAAATCCGGGCGGCTTTTGGTTTATTTAATCCGGATTATTCTGCGGCGACGAAAGTCGGCCGCCTTTTATGAAGGCCGGGCGGTTTTCGTTCTTTCTTGCTCCAGATCCGTTTCTTCAGCTTTGGACGCGAAAATAAGCTGGGTAAGCAAAAGCCGGCCGCCTTTGGCATAACCCGGGCGGCTTTCTCTTGTCTTGTGCCTTTTGTGGACTTCGTTTGTTCCTCGGGATGCGTTTGGTTGAGCTTTTTCCGTTGGTTTTCTTCGTATGTATTCTATCATCCCTTTTTTGGTCCAATCGTCGATTTAGAGCACTTCTAGCAAAACGAGGCATATGTGTGGAGATTTTATTCTTTTTAAGCATAACGCGTTTTAAGATGAATATATAAAACACGTTAATAAAACGCTTATCAATATGGGTATATGAAAAAAAATATAGTGATACCTCATGTTCTAGATAAAACCTTAATGCCATATCCGTCGTATTTTGCACAGACTATTGGTAATAATAGCTTATTCTACACACACACACGGGGATGGAAGCTTCCGTCAAAGCAAGGGGGCCATTGGCGGAGGTAGGGGCCAGCATGGGCCCTGGCCCATTGCAATGTTTATTTAAAAAACTAACGCCCAATGTTTATAGAGTACATGCTACGTAAAACCCAACGCCCAACGTTTAATAATACGTTAGTTATTTCCTTAAAAGAAAATGTTAGTTAGGTAACCTATAAATTTTATGTGCTTCAAATCTTAAGAAACTTTGAAATTCAATGATCCTAATAACCTAATAGCACATTAATATATTTAAAACAGTGTTCCAATTTATAACACACAACCAAGTACCTTGTGATCTGATGACATCCATGTGATACTCCCAAGGAGGAAGTCACAGGTTCGAATCTCATCCCAGTTCAAGGATGTTGGCAATAACACAACTAATACTATAATAGGTTAGAAAGATTTGCCAAAAAAATTATAATACACACTTCATAAAAACAATTCTCTGCAAAAAGTTAAAACTAAAAGGAGGTGGTCTCAATACACAAAGTCTCACTCGTTCAATTTCCGGTAGGTTGAACCCATTTCCGGTAGGTTGAACCCCTTTCCGGCAGGATATAGTCAATAAAATACTGTATTTACTGAACCACCCATTTTCAGTGGGATTCAGTCAATAAAATACTTTATTAACAGTACCACACATTTCCGGTGTGATTCAGTCAATAAAATATTGTATTCTCAGAACCACCAATTTTCGGTAAGAAACCCATTTTCAGTGGGATTCAGTCAATAAAATACTGTGTTCATGGAACCACCCATTTCCGGTAGGTTGAACCCATTTCCGGTGGGATTTGGTCAATAAAATACTGTATTCACTGAACCACCCATTTTCGTTAGGTTGAACCCATTTCCGGTGGGATTCAGTCAATAAAATACTGTATTAACAGAACCACCCATTTCCGGTGTGATTCAGTCAATAAAATAATGTATTCACAGAACCACCAATTTCCGGTAGGTTGAACCCATTTCCGGGTAGGTTGAACCCATTTCCAGTGAAATACAATCAATAAAATACTGTGTTGACAAAGAAAAGGTGGTTAAGTTGTGGCGGAGTATGGTTTCGATTCAGCACCAAGGGACGTCAAAGGAAGATATCGTCAATCAATACAAAAAGTATGACTATTGAGTTGGATGAGCGGCGGGCGCGTCCCCCTCCTGAGCCGCCGCCATGAAGTGCTAGCAAATCTAGAGTTTGGAAGAAGATGGGTGAACTCTGTTTTAATTCCGTTTTATTCTGTTTGTGTTTCTCTTTCGAATTGCATGTTGATTTGGACGTGTTCGTATTTCCTAGCAGAGAGATTCTAGAATTTAAGTTGGGTGATCTGTTGAGAAATCTGGTTTGCTAGTCATTGGCTTAGTTAAGCCCATTACAGGATCAACGAAAATTAATGCTTCTTCAGATGTGATAGATTCTAAGTTTGGTTCGAGGGCGGACGACAACCATAAGGTTTTTTACCGCTTTGTTTACTTCTTTGTCTTTGATTGTATTTTCAGTCATGTGATGAACGTTAGTTTGATTTAATATATTCGTTGGATTTGATGATAGAAAACACTTTTATGCCTATTTGCGTTAAGTATATTTGTATAAATATAAATAATACAAATAAATATAAATATACTTATATATAGAGTATCGTTCTTGTCAGGAGCTCCTAACCAGGACCGTCGTGCATAATCTGCCGTTTAAGGTGGTTTTCGGTGGAATTTTTTGTGGTTTTTTTGAGAATATTCTTCGTGAAATTAGATTATATTCACAAAAATCAGCTTATAATTAAATCGGAAATTAAGTTAAATAATTCAACCCCCCCAATAGCTAGCCAACTGCCCTCCTCCACCACGTTGTCCCTAACTCCCTACTGACTACGACTCGACGAGATTTGCCAAAATAACCACCTTGGGCATCAGGTGGAGAGTTAGACTTGGGGTACATGCTTTTGGTGTACACACTTTTACACATGTCTGTGTAGTTTTTTTTGTCTGTACACACTTCCAAATACGTTGTCTATACAGACAAAAAAACTTACACAGACATGTATAAAAGTGTGTAAATTTTCACAGACGCAAATCGTCGAAGGAATTTGTTTTTTTAATTTTGTTGGAAGGTTCGTAGGAAAAATCATCAAAAAAATTCAAAGGCTACAATGATTTATTCAAAAAAGAGGATAATACAACTAGTAACTAGTGGTGATATAAAACATACATTTTCATAAATGCCAGTGACTTATGATTTTTAAATTTATTATCTTGCAAGTCCCTTCTAATTTAGGAAATGAACTTCTAATATCTTGGGAAATCAGTGATATGAATTCAAATAAACAAAGTTAGCTACTTTATTATTGAATTAAATTAGAGTTTTTAGGTACGGAGTAATAGTGAATTGATTCTCTACAACATTATAAGAGTGAATATTGTCAAGGACATAATAGTGATAAAAAAAGTGTTGGTGTCTCTTATTGTACAAGGCCATTGTACATCATGTAAACATTCTTGTACCTGTTTATTCAACTTTAACGGTAGGGTAATATTCATCGTTAGTGCACCTGTAAATATTTTTCCCCATTATTTACTAAACGTTCCCTCTCCCCATAGTAATGGTGATTAATTTTTTTTAATCAATTACGGAGTACTTATTGTCATATAGTTATTCAAAGGGAAGGGAAGCACTTTCATATCCATATTGGAGAGGATTCAGAGGAAGCACCTTCATTCACTTCGTTGTTCTTCCTTCTTATTTTATCTTTCTAATTAGAATATATTTGTGTATATTTTTTCTTGCCCACTCACAGACTCACAGTACACACGGTAAGTACTTTATTAAATGTATTTGAAATACGGAAAAGTCGAAACAATATATTTAGATCGTAACTTATTTCAAAATAAAGGAAAATAATTATTCCCACATAAGAATAATACGTGTTAGAAATGTAAAAATAGGAATTGCTATATAAAATTTCCTAAATAGGAGTCTTTTTTGTATTGGACAAATATTCCCTGCAAAGGTTCCATAATCGTAGCCGCCAATCACCGGATTCCACTGCCACCGCCAATCGCAGGGATTCAGCTGCCAGGATGTCGTCGTTACCATCGGACAGCCCTATGTTTGTTGGAGAACTAGGGGGACAAATTTTATATATTAAGGGTAATGAAAAATAATATAATGTTCAATTCAATTATATTCAGAAAATATAAAACGTGAACTCTTATTTAGGTGAATATGATCATGTTTTATTCATATTTAAGACAATTACTTTAAAGAAAAATTTGATACATTCAATCTCAAGATGTTTTTTAACACATGAGTAACAAATAAGTTGCTTTTTACACATGAGTAACAAATAAGTTGTGGTGAGTCAAATACATGCTTGGGCATTTTAGTAAACGCGCATGGCGCGTTAAGAAACTAGTTGTAAGAAATAAAGGTGAATTAAATAGTGAACTCATAATTGGAGCACGACAATAGAGATGTTCACTCTATGAACAAAAATCACTCTCGCTAATTAATTTTGGTATTTAAATAGTCAAATTTAGGATACTGGGAGGGAGAGCAATAGTTAAAAATCATTCTTTTAAATGCCAACTGGTCGTTGAATTTTTGTAGTCCAATCATTTTTCTATGCGTGCACATTGACCCTAAAATGATGAAAATAGTCAAACAGCCAAAAAGATTGGTTATCAAAAAGTTATTGCACGACGTTTTATATTCCCAAACTCCCAATAATAGATCAGCTAATTAAGTAGTGAAAAATTGAAACAATAACTAAAAATCGAAATGGGCAACGCCCGTGTTGACATTATTACTTCTATGGACCGGACTGAACTTTTGGTGCGTGCGAATAGGAAGGCTAAATGACTCAACCATCATGATTTACAATTTCTCAAATACTTTGTCGGGTCGAGGTGTAGGGTGGAATTGTTGATTCAACCTTTTTTGAAACATTTATTATAAAAATTGAATTATGTTGTTGATATTAAATTAATAAAGTAAAAACAAAATAAGAATGATACATAAATACATAAACTTTATTGAATTTGATATGAGACAATTTTAATGAGATGAACCAAAAGAAAACATGAGATAATAATATCACAACGGAGAAAATACCACATTTTTTTAATTGTCTGTGTAAAAATCGATTTTTTGTCTAAAACGCTGGTCAAATTGTCTGTAGGACAGGTAACCCGGCCTATACACGTGGACTCATTGTTTTATAATTTCACTATATCCATTTCATTTGAGAAAAAGGAATTTGCTGGGGACCTGACCTCACGGTCCTCACCTGTCCCATCTCCCCCAACATAGGTTGTGAGGTGGGTGCTGGCTAGCCCCAACAATGCCAAAGAAACCTCTGTATTTTCTGCCCTTCACAATCATCTGTCTTATTCTTCTGAACCTTCGAACCTTATTCTTCTTTCCTCGAACCTTGTTCTTGTTTCAATGGTCTTAGGTCTGTGCTTAGTAGCTATTAACTTCAATATTTAGTTCTCTGTTCGTGTGCTTATACATTGGAGGATTTGTAGGTGTAAGTTGTTCTTCGTTGCTTCTTGTCAGCCAGAAAATTACTCATTTATTTAGATTCGGGTTCCTTTGGGCTGAATCCGGATGGTGTTGGAGAAGCTGGGGTATTCAGTTACTAAAAAGTTGGAAATTTAATTGAAGGATAAACAAGAGTGCCTCTTTTTTATGGTCAAGTTGAAGCACTCCTTGTTCGTAAAGGTTGGATCTTGTGGAAAGTCAATGGTCATGGGACAAAACATGTTGTTCATCTCTTCAGTTAAATATTCACAGTACAACTGCTGGCTGGACATACCATGCTATAGCTTTGTTTAATGTGAAAGTTCTGATATTCAACTGGGATGAGTAGGTTTCTTGTACTTTCATTGTCATGTTGTGAAGATTGGTTTAAGCAGAGGTGAGGTGTAGTTGAGGTTGTGATAGGGCAATTTGTGAAAAGTCATTGAAAATGTCTGAGAGTTCAACTGAACTTCGGTCACTGGCTTTAACACCAACATGGTCTGTTGCATCTGTATTGACTGTCTTCGTTGTTGTTTCTCTGCTTGTGGAGCGATCCATACACCGACTATGCAATGTAAGTCGTTGTTTGGGATATTGTTTCTAGAATGTTTTGTAATAAACAACAAGTGCTTAGAGATATTGACATATTAAGATGTTGATGCTAAAGATTAGATATTGTTCACCTTGGGTAATGCTATTATTTTTGTATTCAGAATAGAAAATGATAAACGAGCATATTAAGACTTTAAGTTTCAACTTAAGAGGTCAAATCTAATTGGAGTTTTAGTTGATTTCTCAATTTGTATGTAGTCAACAAAGGAAGTAAGGAACAACAGAAATATTTTCCCCCCACGTCCCTTACGATTCGATAACTCATTTGGATTGTGTAATATCTTTGTTTATTTCATATAGAACCAACTTACTGTTTGACTTTGATACAATAGTTAGAATTGGATTCTGTTCTAAAAGATCAATTTAATAGGAGAAAAATTACAACTAAGAAAGATCTAATAAGAAGAAAAGTATGATATCATATATATTGATTTGTTATACCATATTTAGTCGATGTAAAGACATACTCTGTAATAGAGAAAAATGGGCTTTTCAGTTATTTGTCATTGTGGAGATGGTCTTCATTGTGGTTATAAAGAATTGGAATTTGAGACAAAAAATTGCTTCTCATGAACTCATGTAATATATATAATTTAAATTTTTTATGCATGCCAGTGGCTGAAGGAAACTGATAGAAAACCTCTGCTTGCAGCTGTGGAGAAAATGAAAGAAGGTATACACTGTTAAACTATGCTCCAACTGGAGAAAATGGTTCACTCAATGACTTAATCACTCATTAATACGTAGTGTGTTTTTAGCGAGTCTAATTCAAAACCTTGTCTGTAAATTTGCTTGCAGAGTTAATGCTACTAGGATTCATTTCTCTCTTACTTACAGCAACATCTAGCATCATATCCAATACTTGCATCCCATCGAAATATTATGACAGTGCATTTGCACCTTGCAAAAAGTCTGACATTGAAGAAGAAAAGCAAAATGATGATTTCAAGGAGCGGAAACTTTTGATGGAACTCTTGCTCGATCATCCGCAAAGAAGAATGCTTAATAGTTTAGATCGAAACACTTGCCCCGAGGCATGTAAATATTCCCTCCTTCATACAGTTATAAGACTACACTTCGTACAGTATAGTTAAGATTCATTAATTTATTGCATCTTTACTCGCTTTGTCTTGTCTTTCAGCTTCCTTCTTCATATTTTATCTAGCTTCCAAACAACTGCAATTTGAATAAAGAACCTTTTCTGCAGAGTCATGAACCATTCGTATCTTATGAAGGCCTAGAGCAGTTGCACCGTTTCATCTTTGTCATGGCCCTTACTCATATATTTTACAGCTGCTTGACAATGCTACTGGCCATTATCAAGGTTGTGTTTTAGTTCTGGTACATTCTGATTGATTTCATGTCCTTCTAAAGCATCAGATTTCACTAATCTTGTTCTGTGGTATTTAAAATACAGACTTAAGTAAGACCTTCAGTTGAGCTAGCTAATAGCTTAGATATAATCTTCTTGTGATGTTTGGAAAAGGTGCTTGTGCTTTATGGCCCAAATGCCCAATATAGTGAACCCAACCAAATATTGAATCATTTCACATGACATATGTGAAGAGATTTTTACTTGTAAAAAATATAATTAATGCTTAAGTGTAAAACTAGGGCTTGTTTGTGAAAGTAAAATAAGCATGTAGGATTCTCTGTCTCCAGAACAATGCCGAATAAGTTATATGTAACCATTGCAACTCTTGCTGTTTTTTTATACTAGCTGTTGAATGAAACTACCATAACATTCTCTTCATTAGTCATTTCTTCTTGTTCATGACAGGTCCATACTTGGAGAGTTTGGGAGGATGAAGCTAAAATGGACCAACACGGGGCATTAACTGGTAGGTTATGATTTACTCCCTCCGTCCCTCTATTAAGTTCCTACTTTGACCTACACACATATTTAGGAAATAAATTTGACTTTACTGTTTAGACACTGTTTGGCACTGTTTAGACACTGTTTGGCACTGTTTAGACATTGTTTGGCACTGTTTTGACACTGTTTTGATGTAGGATAACTTTCCATTTAGGGAAATGAGAAGATTATTTTGGGACGACCCAAAAAGGAAAGTAGGAAGTTAATAGTGGGACGGAGGGAGTATGGATTTATAACTGCCAGGTTGAATAATAGTCTTCATTTTCCTGTTCCTAAAGTTAACTGTCTTCATATAGTTCTGAATAAATAGTAGTGGTTAATAGCAAATATATTGTTATCTTGTGTGAATTGTGATGATATATAATTCCTAATTTTCTGTCAGTTATATATTAACCCTTGCCTGTGCCACCATTAGTGTTTGCAGAGTCACATTCTTTTTAGTTTCTCAAGGGAGTATGTTGAGATGTGTCATGCTCTATGCTATTCCAATAAACTATAGTCAGTGACTTTAATACCTCCTAGCAAGTTCACACAAACAAAATGAATTGCAGATTTGATTTCTGATATTCTTTTCTTCAAACTTTTTCTTGGGCTTTCTTTTTTTTATCAACCTTTTTGGTCTTTACAGATAATACAAGAGCAATGACAATGCGAAGGCAATCAACTTTTGTTAGAGTCCACATCTCAAATCCTTTGTCTAGGAATAGTGTTCTCATTTGGGTGGTATGTATATTATGTCACAATATTAAAGCATACATTTCCCATGCCTAGATTTTCTTTCCAACATAATTGCAAGTTCCTTTTCATTTTTATGCTCCAGAACTATGATTTTTTAACTTCATAAACCTGATAGTATCTTTGAAAAAATATATGCTTCTCGCAGACCTGTTTTTTCAGGCAATTTGGGCATTCAGTTGTTCGTGCTGATTACCTTACACTAAGGAAGGGTTTTATCATGGTATGCAAGTACTTAGAAAAAACACATTTTGCAGAATGGTTGAAACATCAACATGCTATTTAGAAAAAAAGACAAACAAAAGTAATGGACAAAATATATGACTTTTAATACGTGATGACCATAGTGTTATTTTCCTAGTGAGTGTCATTCAATTGTACACTGCAGTGAACATGATGGTATTTTAGCAAACTATTTTGTTCATGAAAATATTTAGTATTATCATACAGGAAAACCTCTACTTTTTATGACTGGGTTGGTTTGTTTGAATAACTGCATACATGCTTTGCATTCTTCGACTCAAGTTTTCAAGCCTTGTTTTATCCTTACAGAACCACAACCTTACGTTGAAGTATGATTTTCATAGCTATATGATTCGATCCATGGAAGAAGAGTTCCAAAGAATTGTTGGTGTCAGGTAAATATAGAAGTTTGAAAAGCTAACATTTGTACTATATCTTTAACATGGTACATATCATTATTTACGATACAACCAAATGACAGATATATATTTTCCTATGCATTACTACTATAGATGATGCCATGCAAATTTTGCATTTGATTGATTTTGACACACCTCTATTCTTTTTGTAGTGCACCACTATGGGGATTTGTGGTCGCGTTTATGCTCTTTAATATCAAAGGTATATGATACTATCGTTTAGCATAAGTATTCAAGTTGGGAGAAGTAATAACTCATGATGTTTTAAATTAGCAAGGACTAAGGACCAATTCTCCACCAGTTGATGTGGCTATTAGACCTAGACATTGTGCTCAACTGCTTATCCTCATTTTCTGTATCTCGCAGGGTCGAATCTCTATTTCTGGATTGCAATATTTCCAATCACTGTGAGTTGTGCAGATTCGAATGCAACACTACACCATGTGTTGATCACTTTTATTCATGATATGTACAATGAATTTTAATAAAACAAATTCCATGAAAAACGAATATGTTCTGTTATGTTCTGTTCTGAAGAAACTAGATTATCACACTTAAGAATAACTGCTGAAAACATACACTCACAATATATATACACTCACAATTTATATACACGCGCACACACACACAAACTTGATTATCACACTTCTGACATATATGTTAACAAGCTGCCAATATATCTCTTCTGCTTCTACCATATTTGTCAGCTTGTTCTACTGATTGGCACTAAACTTCAACACGTTATAGCAACCTTGGCATTGGAGAGTGCAGGAATAACCAGCTATTTCCAGGGAACAAACTCCACAAAGCTAAAACCAAGAGATGAACTTTTTTGGTTTAAGAAGCCAGAGTTACTGCTATCTTTGATTCACTTTGTTGTCTTCCAGGTTGGTAATTTCCTTCTGACTAGTTTATTAATTTTCTACATTTTCTCCTTTTAAATGCTGATGAAACATAAGACTTCCATATTTCTATTGAACATGTGGTGCCCCTTCCGTTGCAGAATGCATTTGAGCTAGCTTCTTTCTTCTGGTTTTGGGTAATCCCTTTTCCCTTTTCTTTTGGCTCAGGGAAACAAAATGACCTAATCTGTACTTTCTTCCTTAGTTGAGATTTAAATATTTTTACATAGAGAATAGATGCCAAAATTCATGAATTTTGCAGATTATTGTCAGAGTAAATTATAATGTTCAGTTGTACTGGATCAGTAGTTAGGTTAATTACTAAGGCATGCATTTTCTTACTTGAAGTTGGACATTTTTCTTGGGTTTGACCTAAAACTAAGATGAATTAGGATTTGACCCATGTACAAACTAATTGTATGTTTGTACATTTATGTGCACATTCACATTTATGTCCATTCTAATGAACCTATTCTTTGTTGCAGTGGCAATTTGGCTATAACTCATGCTTTATATTTAATCACACGCTAGTGTACCTACGGCTAATTATAGGGTATGAGACGTTTTAAACCATATTTTCCATGTAACAATGCGTTCATGGTTGCTTGAGGCTAATTCTACTGTTTATCACTCAGGTTTGCAAGTCAGTTTTTATGCAGCTATAGCACCTTACCCCTCTATGCGCTGGTTACTCAGGTAACTTCAAGAAGCCCTAATTATAAAAAAGTCTAATTCTTTGCACAAATTTTTGAAAGTAGCCGATACTCTACGGGTTCTAAACTGAGCCTTGTCAAATTGTAGTCATGGTCAAAATTAAGTATAAGATTTTGAGATTTACCTTATAGGATGTAACTTTGAGTCTTATTATGTTATTAGAGCCCATTTAGTTCAAACTAGCAATCAGTGGGTTTTCTCCAATGAGTCACCCTAAAGATATGAGCTCATATATAAGCTACTTGTCTTATCGAGTTGACCTTTGATATGGAATGTGTCCAAATATTCATACATTGGTGTATAGTCATTGAACTTAAACATTCATGGTGCAATCTTTCCTCTACCGACAGATGGGAACAAACTATAAGGCAGCCCTTATCCCACAGAGAATAAGAGAAACTATACATGGTTGGGGAAAGGCAGCTAGGAGAAAAAGAAAGCATCACACTGTTGATGATTCAACAACTGTGCACACAGATGGCAGCACGGTTTTGTCCGTTGAGGAAGATTATAGACAGTTTCCTGATAGCTCTCAAACAAGCTATGGAGATGACACATTCGCAATCGAGTTACAGCATCACACAGTTGGTGAAGCAGAAGGTCGTTCTGTAAATGCTAATGAAAACTCAAGTCGTCCTGGTACACCTCTCCTTGTACCCTCTGCTTCTATGTCTTTCGCAGTTCCACCCAGGTTCCTTCCAGAAGTAGCTCCACGATCCTTTTCGATGCCTGTACGAAGAGAACTGGAAAAAGACTGAACACTTGGAAGTTTGGGAACTCAGGTAGATTACTGTTGATGCATTTTTAGGTTGTTTGTGTACCATATCCTGTATGTGTGTGTTGTGTGTGAGATTTTAAATGTATCAGGACGTCATTGAATATAGAAACATAAAAACCTATTGATATGCAAGAATAGCACATAGTCCATTCTCCAGTAATGGCTGATTTTGCACGTTTTATCCTTAAGTGCTATTTTTTGCACGTCATTGAATAGTGCTAGACAAATAGTATTAAAATGCGAGTTTAGTCAGATATAATCCCGAGTTTAATCACAAATCACCAGACAAACCACCAAATGCAAGAACAAATAAAATAGAAACAATAATTAGAAATAAAATATTAATATTAAAAGTATAGAAAAGAAGACTTAGCGTAAGATCGTCCGTTAACCGGACAGGCCTTGAAGAAAGATGGCCCCCGTATCTCGATAGCTACTCGAACGGGACTGGCCAACTCGCTCCCAGAATAATCCTACCTCTGTTCCGGTCCTTTAGCTTGCTTGACAGAAACACTTCGACCGTTGCCCGATTTGCCGTAGACTCAAAAAGTAGATATAAGTTTATGGGAAATTATGGATTACTAATGCTCTCGTATGGAAGGCAAGATATTACTCACTTGTGAAAAATGAGTGAAAGAAAGAAGTAATATCTATTCGGGCTCCTCTGTATTACGTAAGGAAAAAAATCGAATAGGAGTATGTCGTGGCTTTATTCATACGAAGGTGTTATATTCTGAGAGCATGCATGTGGGGGGATTATTAAAACGGAAATCAAATTAAAATAATTCAAATGGAGTGCGGTCATTGTGCATCCACCACCCAAAAAGTTAGGATCCTCAAACAATATTGACCAAGCTTCACAGCTTATACATCAGGCAGTTCAAAGTTTCAATTTTGAAACTTCCGAAATAAGCTGGGTGCCACACGTACTGCTTATTTATCATTATAAAATCAAATGGTCCACTAGCTTGAAATTACAACTCAAACATCCTTATCCGCCGTTCATTTAATTTTATCGAATAAGTGATAGTGATGGAATAATTTCTAAGCCACTTTATATGATACTTGAATAACATTCCTTTATCATATAATATCTAAACAAGACCAATCGTTTTATAACTAGAACAAAAATTCTCAATACATCACTTTTACAATCTTTACAACTATGGATTTTAATCATTAAATGATATAAATCCAAACGTAAAAAATTGTTCTTTGATGTATAATAAGCCACACTCAATTCATATTTTATACATATTATTTTAGAACTCTAAGAGAACTAAAAACAATAACATTTATATCATCATTTTTCCAACAATCCCCCACAAATCCATAGTTGTAGACTAGACTCTAACCGACATAGTGTGCTTTCGAATATGGTACCTTCCGGTTTGAACCAACTTCTAAGCTTTTATCCCTAACCCCCACAGGAACTGAGTGAACAGAGTTCTTGAACTCGAACCTTGATAGTGTTGGCGTGGGATAAAAGCAACACACTAAAGGCAATGGCAACGATCTATAGGGTTGACGCTTTACGGCCGTGCGTCCCGATCCTGTCTCAAGAATGTCATCGAGAATTAACCCCTATTCTCTTATTGCGGCCACACAATAACATTCTCATAGTTGGGCATCTCCAAGAGTGCATTGCTAACACTCTGCTATTGATTAAAGCTCGATCCCATTCAGAGTCTTAAACTCTTACTTACTTAGCAATTTCAGCATCTCTCAGGCTTATCAAGGAATAGAACTCATTAAATTTTTTGATGAGATGCACAATTCACTCTACAGTTTGTTTATACCACATTGAACCTGCTTTGTGGGATCTCCACTCAGACAGGTTGGGTTGCTACCGTAGTTGAATAATTGTTGGGTTTCAGTCCCATTCCTAACCTGGATTTTATCACTTGATTTAAATCAAGTCCTTTGGTTAAAGGGTCAGCTGTATTGTCTTTGGATCCAACAAAATCAACAGCAAATACCCCTTGAGACACAAATTTCCTTATAGTTTTTAATCTAACTTGAATGTGTCTCCTCGTCTTTTGATTATACTTGGTACTCCTAATTTTTGCAATTGTGCTCATACTATCACAATGCAAACAAATAGGTGGAATTGGCTTGCTGAATATGGGTAACTCAGACATTAGTCCCATAAACCATTCAGCCATAATTCCAGTAGTATCCAACGCACATAATTCAGCCTCAAAAGTAGACCGAGAAAGTATTGTTTGTTTAGTGGACTTCCAGGCAACAGCCCCACCACCAAACGTAAACACATAGCCGGTACATCCATAACTCCCGGAGTTCTTAGCTATCCAGCTTGCATCACTATATCCCTCAAGAACAGGAGGATATTTACCATAATGCAAACACAAGGAAATAGTTCCTTTTAAGTATCTAAATACTCTATCTAAGGCCTCCCAATGAGTTCTGTTTGGACAACAAGTGTACCGGCTCAACTTAGACACTGAAAATGCAATATCAGGTCTAGTACAGTTAGCTAAGTAACCCAAGCTACCAATCATCTGAGAATATCTTAATTGAGACACAGGAACACCACTTTCATTTTTATACAAAGCTACTGAAGGATCATAGGGTGTTTTAGCAATTCTACTATTTTTAAATCCAAATTTCTCAATTAATTTTTCAATATAATGTGATTGAGAAATAGATATTCCTTCAGTTGATCTAGTCAACTTTAGTCCAAGAATTACTTCGGCCACCCCCATATCCTTCATTTCAAACTTTGTTTTCAAAAATGACTTAGTCTCAAAAATAATATTATCATTAGTGCCAAATAATAATATATCATCAACATATAGGCATAAAATAATACTAACATCACCTTTACATTTATAATAAACACTTTGATCAGCATCTATAAGGGTAAATCCAAACGAAAGAATTATTTTATCAAATTTTTCGTTCCATTGCTTAGGGGCTTGCTTAAGTCCATATAAAGACTTAACTAATTTACAAACTTTTCTCTCATTGCCTTTTGCCACAAATCCTTCAGGCTGGTCCATATAAATTTCTTCTTCAAGGTCACCATGAAGAAAGGCTGTCTTAACATCCATTTGATGAATTTTAAGACCATATACGGAGGCCATTGCTATAAGCATTCTAATTGTGGTCATTCTTGCAACCGGAGCATATGTATCGAAAAAATCAATACCTTCTTTTTGTTTGTAACCCTTAGCAACTAATCTGGCCTTATATTTATCAATGGTTCCATCTGGTTTTAATTTCTTCTTAAAAATCCATTTACATCCAATAGTAGTACACCCGGGAGGAAGATCAACAAGCTCCCATGTTCCATTTTGAACAATGGAGTCCATTTCACTTTTAATGGCATCCTTCCAATGCATGGCTTCGGAAGTAGCCATTGCATCTCTAAAGGAAACTGGATCACCCTCAATATTGTAAGTGATAAAATCACTTCCAAATTCCTTAGTGATCCTAGCCCGTTTGCTCCTTCTAGGCTCATCTAGTTCATTTGATTCAAAACTAGCGAGACTAGTACTACTAGATTCTACCCCCACATTTGTCATCTTTTCCACTTGATCAGGAATTGAATTAAATGTGGTTTCTTGATTTTTAAAAGAAATATTTTGGGGAACACCCGTTTTCATTGGGAAAACATTTTCAAAGAAAGTAGCATCACGAAGTTCTATAATAGTATTAACATCTATGCCAGAAATTTCAGATTTAATAACCAAAAATCTCAATGCATAAGAATGTTCAACATAACCAATAAAAATAGCATCAACAGTTTTAGGCCCAAGTTTCTTTCTTTTGTGTTCAGGGACTAATACTTTTGCAAGACAGCCCCACACTTTAAAATATTTTAAACTTGGTTTTCTGCCTATCAAGAGTTCAAATGGACACTTATCTTTATGTTTCATGGGAATCCTGTTCAGAATATGGCAGGCCGTATTCAAGGCTTCCCCCCACATAAACTTAGGTAATCCAGAATTCTCTAATAAACTGTTAATCATATCTTTAAAGGTTCTATTTTTCCGTTCAGCTACTCCATTTGATTGTGGTGAATAAGGAGGTGTTTCTTCATGTACTATACCATATTTTTGGCATTCTAGTACAACTAAATTAGAAGTGTACTCTCCTCCCCTATCAGATCTTAACCTTTTAATTTTCTTGCCGGTTTGATTCTCTATTTCATTCTTAAAAATTAAGAATTTTTCAAGAGCTTCATCTTTACCCTTAAGTAGATACACATAACAGTATTTAGAATAATCATCAATAAAAGTGATAAATTATTTCTTCTTGTCACGAGTCAACACTCCATTAAACTCACAAATGTCGGTATGAATTAAATCAAGTAATTCAGAATTTCTATCAATTGAATGATATGGTTTTCTTACTTGTTTTGTAGTAGCACATACCATACATTTCTTAGTTTTATCAATAGAGTGTTTAGGAATTAAATTTAAATTCATCATTCTTTTTACTGAATCTAAATTAACGTGACCCAAACGATAATGCCATAAAGTTGAAGAATCACAATTCTCAGATACATAATTTAATTCAAAATAATCAACCACAATCTTAAAAAGTCCATCCGACAAGTAACCCTTGCCAATAAAAAGTCCACCAAATAAAATTACAACTTTATTAAATTTAAAAGATAACTCATAACCCTCCCTAACTAGAATGGAACCACTAACAATGTTCCTTCTAATTTCGGGAACGCGATGCACTCCATGCAAAGTAAGTATTTTTCCCGAAGGAAATTTTATTTCTACTTTTCCAACTCCATGCACACTAGCAGCACTTGTGTTTCCCATCATCACTGTTCTTCCAACCGCAGGCTGATAAGAAACAAAGAGCGATTTATCAGCACATACATGCACATTCGCTCCTGTATCTATTAGCCACTCATTGGAATTATATATAGTGAAAACTTGAGGGTTAATAGAAACATACCCATCGGAACTAGTTCCTCCAGTCACCACGTTGACTTGAGGTCCACCAGATTGAGCCTTAGCCTTTTTATTTGGGCATAATTTGGCCCAATGCCCCATCTGTCCACAGTTCAAGCATGGCCGGTTTGCCTTTGGTTTCTTTGCAATTTTTAATTTGGCCTTTATTGGTTTAAAAGATGATGGTTGTTTATTTTTAGAATTTTGTGACTGCTTTCCCCCGGTTACAACATGAGCCTTTGGCTGAAATTCAACAGGCACAATATAACCCACTTTCTTATGTTCTTCCTCAACAGTAATGGAATGCATCAAACTTTTCCAAGTTATCTTTTTCATTTTGTGTTTTAAAGTCAAACCAAAATCTTCCCACGATTTGGGGAATTTTTCAATTACAGCCATGACTTTAAATTTTTCAGGCAATTCCATATCTGCTTCACGGAGAGAATGTAAGATAAGCTCAAATTCTTGTGTTTGTTCTAAAACAGATTTTCCCTCTTTCACGTCGAATCTCAAGAATTTGGAAACAATATACTTTTCTAGACCGTGGTCATCAGTATTATATTTCCTATCCAACTCATCCCAAAGGTCTTTAGCCGTGCCGTGGAGGGTGCAATAGACATCAAATAACATGTCGGAGAGTCCCAACAATATCATTCCTTTGGCTATTTCATTCCTCTCACGCCATAAAGTTTGGCGTTCAAGACTTTTGGGATCAGACTCGACAACGGGGGGACACACCGTCATAATTACCGAGAGCAATCCCTTGGTGATTAACCAAATTTTCATGCGTTGTTGCCAACGCTTGAAAAATTGCCCGGAAAATTTTTCAGGCATTCCGGTCAAATCAACCCTGTGAGAGCCCGTAGCAACAAATTCAGGTGTGTCTCCAGAATTAGTCACAAACACAGAATTAACATTATTTTCAGGGGTTTCATTCACATTATTCTCAACAACAACGTTTTCAGAAGTAGCAGCATTTTCCAAGTTCGTCATATTGGATTTTCAAAACTCGAGAAATAATATCTTTCTTCAAGATTGCTAGACAAATAGTATTAAAATGCGAGTTTAGTCAGATATAATCCCGAGTTTAATCACAAATCACCAGACAAACCACCAAATGCAAGAACAAATAAAATAGAAACAATAATTAGAAATAAAATATTAATATTAAAAGTATAGAAAAGAAGACTTAGCGTAAGATCGTCCGTTAACCAGACTGGCCTTGAAGAAAGATAGCCCCCGTATCTCGATAGCTACTCGAACGGGACTGGCCAACTCGCTCCCAGAATAATCCTACCTCTGTTCCGGTCCTTTAGCTTGCTTGACAGAAACACTTCGACCGTTGCCCGATTTGCCGTAGACTCAAAAAGTAGATATAAGTTTATGGGAAATTATGGATTACTAATGCTCTCGTATGGAAGGCAAGATATTACTCACTTGTGAAAAATGAGTGAAAGAAAGAAGTAATATCTATTCGGGCTCCTCTGTATTACGTAAGGAAAAAAATCGAATAGGAGTATGTCGTGGCTTTATTCATACGAAGGTGTTATATTCTGAGAGCATGCATGTGGGGGGATTATTAAAACGGAAATCAAATTAAAATAATTCAAATGGAGTGCGGTCATTGTGCATCCACCACCCAAAAAGTTAGGATCCTCAAACAATATTGACCAAGCTTCACAGCTTATACATCAGGCAGTTCAAAGTTTCAATTTTGAAACTTCCGAAATAAGCTGGGTGCCACACGTACTGCTTATTTATCATTATAAAATCAAATGGTCCACTAGCTTGAAATTACAACTCAAACATCCTTATCCGCCGTTCATTTAATTTTATCGAATAAGTGATAGTGATGGAATAATTTCTAAGCCACTTTATATGATACTTGAATAACATTCCTTTATCATATAATATCTAAACAAGACCAATCGTTTTATAACTAGAACAAAAATTCTCAATACATCACTTTTACAATCTTTACAACTATGGATTTTAATCATTAAATGATATAAATCCAAACGTAAAAAATTGTTCTTTGATGTATAATAAGCCACACTCAATTCATATTTTATACATATTATTTTAGAACTCTAAGAGAACTAAAAACAATAACATTTAGGGAAAATGGAAACTAATAATCCAACCTTTTAGCGGTCTTCTTTTAATAGTCCCACCTTTTCGTTATTCATGAATAATCCAACCTTTGCACCTCATCTTCATTCACTGGTCCCCGATCGGTTGATGACCTGTTATTCCAAGTTATTTTCTTATCTTTGCAAAATATTATCTTTGTGAAAGGTGAAATTTATGGTATAATAGTTTGTAGAGATAAGAAAATAACTCGGAATAGCAAGTCATCAACCGGTCGGGGACTAATGAATGAAGATGAGGTGCAAAGGTTGGATTATTCATGAATAACGAAAAGGTCGGACTATTAAAAGAAGGCCGCTAAAAGGTTGGATTATTAATTTCCATTTTCCCTAACATTTATATCATCATTTTTCCAACAAATAGCACATAGTCCATTCTCCATTATCCTTAAGTGCTATTTTAGAGCCCGTTTGGTAGCACGAAAATAGGCTGTTTTGGCTGATTCTGCTGAAATTTCTGAAGTTCTGGCTGAAGTGGCTGCATTGGCTGATGCTGCTGATTTAAGAAACAATTATTTTTAAAATATATTTTATTTATAAAATAAAGAAAAAATTATATGTAAAAATAGCTAAAATAGTCCTCCACGGTAACTTCAGCCAAAACAGCCAGAAAAGTAACTTTAACCTTACTTTTTCTGCTTATTACACAACTCAGCGCGCGTAAGTAAAAGTTACGTGT